CCTCCCCCCCCGGTGCCGCCATCCCCGCCCCAAGTGGCCAGTCGAAGTGCTGACCGCGACCACTCACAGCATGACCCCCCGGCCCTGGACGGGATTGAAGTCCCCGTCCAGGCCTCCATTCATCAATTCCCCCACTATTTTCTGTCGCAGTAGTGGGGAGTCTGGAGCCCCATAGGATTGGGGCTCCAGGTTGATGGCGACGGCTTTCGCCGTCGACAGGAGGAAGACACCACAGTCGGACCCGTTGTCTTGCCGGGGAGACAGGGACGGCAGCACCTTCCACTCCGCCTCCACAAATCCCTCCCCCAGTTCCCCCCCCAGCCATGTTTTGATGAGATTTACATGGCGCCTGTTCAGCCCCCCCAGGGAATCGAAGTGTTCGATGGTGCGATCGCACGGCTTGACCACGATGAGTGTCCAGTGAGATTTGTCATGGATAGGCACAAACACCGTGTCGACGTTGAGGAGAGCCTTGCCTCCAATCTTGGCCCGTGTCGCCCACCTGCGGACAGACTCGTATCCCTTGTCTCGCAAATTGGAAAAGAAAAAAGAATTGAATGCGTGGTATCGCGGCTTGTCATGCCGCCCAGAGTTGTTGTTGGTTCTTCGCAAGTAGTCGATAATTAATGCCATGTACGCGTTGATCACTTCGTCATTCAGCCACTCCAACGGTGTATAGCAGGTTGCCAGATCTCGTGTCGTCAATGTCTCTCCCGAAAGTGTAGTGGCGACCTTCCTCGACGGTGGCCCAGCCATGGTGTCTTCAAGGCGTTTAATCCACTTAGCGCTTAGGGGTCGCACTGCGGGCCGCTCGAGGAGGATTCTTGCGGGTGGGCGTTGCTGGCTCTGCCTTCTTCTTTTTCCCTCTTTTTCCTCGTTTTCCGCCACGGTCGCTCTCCAGCTTTTGGCAAGAAGAGACTCAGTCCTGCCAACCGGGATAGGGGAAGGGGTAGGATAGAACATGCTTACCGCAGAAAGTGCTCGACCCATGGGGTGTTGCTCTGCCTCCTGTGTAGAGGGATCCTGCGAGAGCATATTGCTTTCCTGTGCAATAACAGATCTACCTTCATGGCTGATCACTTCATCAGCAGTCGTCTGATTGGTATTCACATGTTCGATATTCGTGTCTTCGGTTCTCATGTACTCATTGCTCAACATATCGCGGGGCGTAACTTTAGTACTCGTCAAATCGCGGGACGTAACTTCAGTGCTCATCAAATCGCGGGACGTAACTTCAGTGCTCATCAAATCGCGGGACGTGGTATCAGGAGCCATAGGAGCAATGTTCTCCTTTTGCTCTTCATCGGTAATAGCTTTAACATCGGTTTCTTCGCTGGAAAGGATATTTCTCGCGTGCGCATCGAGAAGATGCTGGAGATGTCCAATTCGTGCCCTTGGCGGTGACGGTGACGGTGACGGTGTCCATGGGGCAGGAGGCGCATTGCGAGGTGTTATAATACGCTCGCCTGTCACAGGCGAGTTAGGAAAGTGAACTTTGCGGGAGGGCTTCGGCTTTGGCGTATGCTTTTCATGATTGGCATCAGAAAAGCTGACGGTAGTCGCATCGACCACAGAAGACCTCGAAGATGAGGCCACAGCGTTACTGCTGGTCTTCAAAATACTCTTCGTTTTCACCTCTTGAGACTGTGCCGTCTTGGGTCTTTGGCTAGCAGTTTCCTTCACCTCGGTGGAAGGAACGCGAATGAATGGGAGAAAATATGCTCGTCTCCTGTAATTGATGCGCTTGAGTGGCTCGGGATCTCCTGCACGATGGGCTTCTATTGCCTCTGCGACTGCAAGACTCCCCACGTGAGCAGGTGGAAACATTTTACGCACAAATGAGCCGCGTGTGCGAAGGGGAGAGAAGGCCATCGGAGCTCGGGTCTCGGACTTCTTGGAAGGATGGACTGTGTCTTCGGATTCGGGTGCGGCACGTTTCAAAGACTTGGGCTTGGTGGCCGAACCAGAGCTGGGTGTATCTGAGGAATCGGAACGGCTAGACCAAAAGTTGAAACCACTAAAATCAATCTCGACAAGTTCGAAAATACCGTCCGCCGGCGACGGCATTTCAACAGGATGGAGCGGCTCGGGGGTGGCATCCATCACATCTGGACTCAAAGCATCATCAACAACAACAGAAGCCGCGTCAAGCGACGGCATTTCAACAGGATGGAGCGGCTCGAGAGTGGCATCCATCACATCTGAACTCAAAGCATCATCAACAACAGAAGCCGCGTCAAGCAACGGCATATCAGAATCGGCAGGTGGTCCTCTTCGGTGATCTTCAGGACCATGCTCATTTGTATCTCTGTGGAGTACTTGCTGAATGCGACGTTTGAAGGTTCCAACAACATTCACAGCTCGTCGGGCGGTGATGGTAGCACGCTGACTTATATCATGACCAACAACACGCACAACCCTAGCGGTTTTGGTGGCACGCTGGGTGATGTGGTTACCAACACCACGCACAGCTCTAGCGGTGTTGTTAGCGCGCCTGGTCATGTTGTTACCAACGACACGCGTCAAGCGCGCTGTCAACCCAGCCCAGCTTGAAGCAGGGTTAAGAGCTTGCTCCGGTACATAGTTGTTAGTGAGGTCGGCAAACCGTGTTGCTGCTGAGGTTGTTTCCGGCCAACTGCCGGGTGGACGGACTTGGGGAGTAGTAGGAACACGCAGAGTAAATTCATGCGAGGGATGTTCGATACGTGCCGTATCTGAAACCAAAGTATGCATGTCCGTTGCCTCCTTCTGCTCAAGAGGTGGGCATGACTTGGCAATTGTTAGACCGTACGGAGTGTTTTGAGATTGTTGCGGTCTATAAGGACATTCGTCATCTTCGTCAGATATCTCTAGTGGTCTCTTGCGAGTCGCGGTACTCGAGGAATCCTGCCCTTTGCCGGCCAAAAATGTGGCCTCAAGCTTCTTAAACTTCTCTTCTTCTGTGCCAGGCATAGGGTGAAGTTGGACTCTCGGCCGACTGTGATAAAAGGTATTGTCCAAAGTGCTAGCTTCACCAGTGAGACCAAAGGGACGTGAAGCGAATCCATTTCGCGAAGTGCTGGGTGCATTGAGACCAAATGGACGTGGAGCGAACACATTTCGCGAATTTCTGGGTTCATCGAGTGCAAATGGACGTGGAGCAAACGAAGTACTGGGCTCACTGAGTCCAGATGGACGTGGAGCGAATACAGTTCGCGAAGTACTAGGCTCATCGAGTGCAAATGGACGTGGAGCAAAAGAAGTGCTAGGTTCATTTAGACCAAAACGTCGTGAAGCGAGTACATTTTGCGAAGTGCTGGTTTCATCAACACCAAATGGACGTGAAGCAAATGCATTTCTTGAAGGTCCAGCCGAATCTGGTGCAGTGCGACGAAATAGAGGTGAGTCAGGATTGTCGTACCGGCTTGTTGTTGGGAACCAGTCAGGGTCGCTTCGGCTGGGACGATGGATATTGCCCAGCTTGGGTCCAGGCCCATTGGCGAGGAGTGCGGTGTTATCACGCATGAAGTTTGGCTGAGCGGAGATGTTGATATCGGACAATCCGGGAGGAAGACGCCTAGTGGGTGGATTCAGTCGAGACATCTGCTCGCGCTAGGAATCGGTTAGTCCTGAAGTTATTATTCTATCCTTGGGGCGGATGAGCTTACCTCGTGCTGCCACAATTCAGCGAATGGATCGAGAGGGCCAGACATTGTAATGTCAGCAGAGTGATATGATTGTGAGTGTTGTGAGTTCGGTGATGAAAGCAGTGAGATGTGAGTTCGGTGATGAAAGCAGTAATGTGAATTTGGTGAGAAACGAGGCAATGTAAGTTCGGTGATAGAAGCAGTGATGTGAGTACGGTTATGTGATGTGATGTGTTGTGTGAAGAGGAAGTGGAGAGAAACGAAGAGAGGTAGAGAGAGAGAGGTGGGTGGGTGGGTGGGAGGGAGGGAGGAAGGAAGAAGAGAAACAGAAACAAAAAAAAAGGGAAGGCGCAATCACAACACGATCATCGCCATGGCAGGAACACTGTTGCCGAAATATTCACTGAGGTCGCGGTGCAAATTGGTGTTACATTGGAAGGCGTGGGGTCCAGTGAATGTGGTGGGCGCAACTGGGGCAGGTGGAAAGAGTGAGAAGTGAATGAATCAGTGCAGCCGCGATATGAAGTTATTGGGAAGACCGAGCTAGCAAGCTAACTAATAATACGTACGTACCCCGACGACGCCCGCCCGCCCGCCCGCCAATTTATGCTCAACCTTAGAGAGGTTTAGCGCCGGAAGCTTGACCCTCCCTCCGGGGAAAAGATCACGTGAAATTATACCTATACGTATAAGTTACTCGAGTCTTGGTGATCGGAACGGCCACCCTTAGCAGCCTCTCAATCAAGATCTCTCGATCTCTCGAAGCTACCAACGAGTACAAAGTAAACTGGCTATTATTGTAAGATTGACACTCCGCGAACGCGATGATGGCCCTTTATCTTCACGATAAGTCAAGGATCGAACCGGAAAATCAGTGGCCCAAAATCCTCCCAATTTGCGAAGCGCTACCTAGGTACTTCTTAGTAGAATCGGTCACGTAGAAGCGGTCCGCCACCACGAAGTGGACCAGAAAAGAAGGCCGGTTTTGTATATTGAAATCCTGATGAACAATATGACTCGACTTGATTCTAAAGCCTTCTATAACTATATATTAAACTGAAAGGTCTGGGTCCAAATACAGCTCTAATCACGTTTATCAGTTTGATTATATATGAGAGTCCGCGGAAAAGCAACAGAAGCTGTTAGCAAGGCTTTGCTTAATAGGAGAGGTGCTTGGATAGACCTTGCTTGCTTGGGAAGGTGCTCGAAAATGCCTCAGGCAAAGAAAAAAGAGAGAAAATAAAATCGTATATACAGTAACAGAAATGTCAGCTATGTTACATCGCGGACGTGTAGAGTCCGATGTGCTGGACTGAACCAGGAGACACAGTCAAACCGGGACTACACCCATGACCATCGTGCTAATAGGCCGCAAGACCAATTTGCGAGAACAAGAGCGGGGCCCCCTCCATAACTATCCAAGCAATTCCTTTCGATCCAGAAATTGTCAGCACACTTAGCCAAAGCGAAGTCGCGGGTGCGATGATTCAAAGGGATCTTGGCAGGACCTACCAGAATACACCACCAGCTTTGTGACTACCTCTACATCATAGCGTACGCGCGGGCGTTTGATCTGCGCGAAGAGTTCCTCTTCATCGGCCTCGAATCCAGCATCGAAATCGGGAAAGGGGACAGTGGATGAGTCCGCTTGGCAAGCATTGTCAAGAGACGTCGCAGGACCTAGAGCTCCCGTGCCCATCATGTGCTCATAGTCATTGAGCTTGGATGGCCGTCTTGACAGCTTCGGTGGCTGAGCCTCTCTGGCGGAGGAACCAGCCTGGCCAACCTCGGTGGCAGGGGTAGCCTTATGGCCATTGGAGAGACTCTCCCGCCTGCGCTTCTCACGATATGCCAATGCTTCATAGGCATCGGCCTCTGATTGAGGACCAACGGATATTGCTCGTCGTCTCGGATGGCGTATCGTGGTGAGGAACGATGGGATCTCGGATAAATTTGGGAGGACTTCATGATCCTTCAGATGCGCTGGAACACGGGAGTATTGCCTATCAAGTCAACCGGTTAGGTGTCTGTTTAGAGGTACTCCGTTTCCATTGAAGTTCGGCCCTCCTGAGCAAAAAAAAAAAATCAACTTACGAAGCATTGGTGAAGAACCTCCGAGGAAGGATCAGCCCTAGCTTTTCAAGACCCCGGAAAACAGGTGGAAGAATCCGAAGCATGAAGGGTTTTGTCACTGCCCGCCAAACGAAGAGTAATAGGATTCCCAGGACCAGCCGAAGAGCAGTTTTTGTCATCTCCACCAATTCAAATTTGGGCGCAGGGCCTGCTGCCGACTCATACCACCCCATCTTCGAGCGCGCCAAGTGCCAATAAGCGATTTGAGCACCGAGTGTCACTCCCGCAAAAGCCACGCTATCATCAAAGCATGGGCAGTCATCCGCAGGCTCTGGGTGCACACGGACCAGGGCCAAGATCAGCAGAATGACTACTGTGACGCCTTTCCCTGTAGCAGCAAGGATATATTCGTCGATGATCGGCCCATATGTGTACTGCAAATAGGCAAGGAAGCCACCTAACAGGCAGCCCGTGACCACGTCGCAGAATCCATGCATCCCGCAATACAGGCGGCCCAGAACAATGGAGCTGACATAGACATATGTCAAAGCCTGAAGTGCCAAGTTCATACTAGAGCTAAGAGTACAATCCGGAGAATTGAGGAGGGAGAGAACATAGACTGCGACCGAAACGGCATTCGTAGAGTGAGTGGAAGGAAATCCATACTCCAGAGCCGCAGAGCCGGACATTGTTATGCGCTGGAGGGGTGGAGATAAAGGCCGAGGTAGACACAGGAGGTCCTTGATGAAGCCACTAAAGAAGACACCGGAGGCCAATAGATGCACCATCCTAGACGAGAGCCAAGTATGTTAGCGATTCGCAGCTACCAGGCGCAGAGTCCCCAGACGCCGAAATAGTCGGTCGTAACATCCAATCGAGAGCACGTACCCACGTCCCAAGCTTGCATAACCGCACCAGAATAGAATTGGGAGGAAAACCATGAAGAAGGTGTGTGTTCCTAGGTTGGCCGTGAACGCAAAGTATGAATCCAGAGTCGGAGTTCGGATTTTCTCCTGGCACCAGGCGAGATATGGTGTTTCGAATCGAATCAATGGAAGCAATTTCTGTCGTGGCCAGTAACGCCAAAGAGGAAGCTGGTTTCGATCTAATCAAAAGCACAGGTCAAGCCACTGTTAGTGTTGGACAAAGAGACTGACTTCTGATAGGACAAGTACTGTACAAACATACAATGATTGAGACTTCTCAGGCCAGCGTCGGGCTGGCCATTTTTGCTGTGAGCCATTTGCGATGACTGCTGCCCAAGCAGGCAAGCGTGTAGAGCTATCAAAGTGATGAGATGATTGCGATTCCCTCCATGTGATTTTTTTTTTCCGTTTCCTGGCGGACAGACTCCCTTAGGTTCTCCGACCGCCTTGGGTGATCATTAAGGTTTCCGAGAGATTCAAATAAGACAAAATATAGAGATAATGCCTGAGTAGTCGGGGCGAGGAAGGGAGAGGGGGCCGGTTAGACACAATGTCAACGTCGATTAAGGAGAGAAATCAGAGCCAGCCTGGAGGTATTACTACTAGATTAGACTACTTGTCCCGCGGACGCGGACAGTCACTTATCAGAATCGTGTTGGCGGGATTTGGCGGTCAATGCGCCCGCCGCCAATTCGAACCTCCATGAAGAAGAGCCCCAAAGGGCCAGGGACGTGCTGCAGGGTCACGTGTCAGACCGTTTTACTCGTACTTGCATAATCAACCTTGGAAGTCTCCATAAATACCCTACTTGATGGATAAACAGACATCTACTAATATCATGTTTGAACACTATATAAAAGTCGGGTCGTGCGCACAGTCCGTGAAGGATGGACATCCATGATATATATATCATGTGTGACGAGACTTCTTTGGGAGTCTCCGTCCCCCCTCACAGAAAGCGTGGCCTACCTGGGAAGCACCGGGCAGAGTTCAAGGCTCCAAGTATGAGACAGTAGCCGGGACCAAGTTACGTCAGAAGTGATTCCACTCCTAGGGTTGGTCGGAGACTGTCACAACGCCTACGGGTTGAGGCAATTACGCAAGGAACCGCAGTTGACAGACGCCATCCCATCTAATCAACCAACAGATCGGAATTAGACTAGCCCTGGCACTAGGAACTATACCCCGATCTAAAGATCGGAAAGTGATTTGAAGGACAAAGGAGGAGTTGGCAAGAACCAGAGGAGTACGGAGTACTGTGCCGGACCACATGGGAGAGGCACAGCTTGGATGGGATGGAGCCTTGGTTCTAGCCCAGTGAAAGTCCACCAATTCAAGGAATTGGCAATTCAAGGAATTGGTGAGATGTGACGAATCTGCTAAAAATAACATTAAAGATGGAGCACTATGTCAAGAGGAAAAAGCTCACAGAAGACAAGAGATGAGCTGAAACTGTCCTGGACTGCCTCAAAAGTAGGGAACTACTTGACAGCGGAGACAGTGCGTCATTTGTCCCGCGGCGTTGCCATGGCAGCTCATCGGCCGGTAAACATCGGTCTGGCGGTTTCACGTCAGCCGCAATGGGGCCTCGTCGCAGCACTGGCACCAGCACTGGCACCAGCACCAGCACCAGCACTAGAAGCAGCCCGCCCCATCAATGGCTCTTCGGCCATCGGTCCCCGTATTAGAGGTTTCGATCTCGAAGCCTGACATCCCTTCCTCCCTTTTGGAACCTCTTCGTGCTGGTTTCGCGTATTGTCTTTCACGTTCTCCTTCCCAACCACCCCTCCTCCTCCTTCACCTCCACCTTCGCCTCCACCACTATAATCAATCTCCTCCTTCGTGCAGCAACCTCGCAGCGACGTGTCGACTTTGGAGCCTCATTGACACAAGAAAGGAAATTCCATAACTACCTACCATATTTCAAAACTCTTGGCTTTTGCATTCGGGCAACCAGGTGGATCTTGAATAGTGATAATTATCTGGAAGCATTTCTTGACCGACACTTTGGTTCCCCCCCCCCCCCCCCCCTTCCGGAACGACTGGATACCTACATTCCATCAATTCTCCTATTCCGACATCATGTCAGGTACCATGTATGATGACCAAGCTTATGCACCCTCGCGTCGTCATTCACTCGCAACTCCTCCTCAGTCCATGAATCCGCGACAAAGCCGGACGCGCAGCCAGAGCGTCAGAGTCAGCAACGGCACCGTCAGCACAAACACCAGTGTTTCCAGCGGAAGGATGTCAGAAGCCACGAATATCACGCAGCCTCCGGCATATTCCAAAAAATTTGTGGTGGTGGGCGATGGCGGCTGCGGAAAAACCTGTCTCTTGATTAGTTATTCGCAAGGTTATTTCCCGGAGGTAAGTGCCTGACGGTCCCTGCGGCGGCTTGACTCTTCCGATCCCAACTGACCCCCCCCGGCTCAGAAATATGTTCCTACGGTGTTCGAGAACTACATCACGCAAACAACTCATCGGGCTTCCGGAAAGACAGTCGAGCTCGCTCTGTGGGACACTGCTGGCCAGGAAGAATATGATCGTCTACGTCCATTGTCGTATCCAGAGACAGATCTCCTGTTTGTTTGCTTTGCTATCGACTGCCCCGCCTCGCTAGAGAATGTGATGGATAAGGTATGCTTGATTCTGGCCCGCCGTCTGCAATTAGTGGAAGCCTCTGACCAAAATACATAGTGGTATCCTGAAGTCTTGCATTTCTGTCCAACTACCCCGCTCATTCTAGTGGGCTTGAAGTCGGATCTGCGCAATAAGAGAACATGCATCGAGCTGCTTAAAACCCAAGGACTGACGCCGGTAACGCCCGAACAAGGCGAAGCAGTGGCGCGTCGTATGAACGCCTCGTACGTGGAATGCAGTAGCAAGGAGATGCGCGGTGTTGACGGCGTATTCGGACTTGCAGTCGATATTGTGGTTTCCGCCGAAGAACAAGACTGCAATGACCGTCAGACGTCCAGCGCTGGCAGCAAACCCCGAGTCGGGGGCGCCGGTGGCGGCGGAAAGAAGGTCAAGAAGCGGAGCTGCAAGATCCTGTAACTGGTTGGCTCGCTTTATCTCTCTACTGACTCCTCAACTGGTATATTCTCATACACCCTTACCACCCCAGCATTTCATTTCCCCTTTCACGCTCATGCCACACACAAGCCTGGTTGCTTTGACGGCTTCACCGACTCTTTTCACATGTGATACGAAATAGCAAAGCGAGATGGCGCCCGGCCATGATCGGCACCCTCCGTTTGACTTTTGATGTTGGTTCTCAGTCCACTTGGGCTAGTATCTGTTTCTTGAAATTTGCCGGCGGCTTTCTGTTTGTCCAATCGTCTCTTACGTTGTTATACCTGCTTGGCCTTGATGACTTTTTCCCATAAACTCCGATTGTCTCAATCATCTCACGCTTCTGTCCCCTTCTTTCTATTCCTTGAATGCTTTATGTCTGTTATGAGCACGGCCATATGGCCTCTATTTGTTATGCATGGGACGGGTGTTTTCTTTTTGGCGCAAGCGACATCCCATGTAACTGAATCCGAACACCATCCCCAAAAACTTGCTGGGAGATTATCCAGTAATTCATTCAGCTCTTTGGAAAAGGAAGGATATCCTGCGACAAAAGATAAGTAGACAAGCTCCCTCGACCACGCCAAAACAGATTCACGCCATACTCAAAACGCCGGATTTTTAGCCAGATATCGTAGACAACAAACCATATACCTCCACCTCCGAAAACCGCAATTAAGCCTCAGCATCCTTCATCTCCTCATCGCGAAGCTCACTCTGCCCCTCTTCCTCCTCCTGCTGCTGCCCCCCCTCGTTCCGCCGATCCGGAGCCTCCGTCCCCTCAGCCGGCTGGCCCATAAAATTCTCAAACCGCGACCACAGGGCCTCGACGGAGCCAAACTCATTCCCCACCTACGCAAGGATAGATTAGCGATCCGTTTTTGATCCTTGCATGGAAGCCAATAGAACCACATCCTCCATGAGGTGAGGAAGGGTGGGGTGGGAGGGAGCGGTGAGACCTACAGAGATGATGCTCTCCAAGTTCCGATTGAGCCGATTCATATTCTGGAGAACTTGCTCCATGCCCTATCCACCACCCCCATGTGAGTTTAGCTTCAGTGAGGTATTTTTTTGGGGGGCGGGGGTGTTCTCGCTTCGGCGAAAGAGAAAGGGCCGACCAACAACGCAATGAGACGCCCATCGTACCGAGAGATTCCGGGATGAAAGGTGGAGGGCTTACCACGGCGATTTCTCTTACGAGCTCTGCCCGTTGCTGCTCGAAGACTGTCGGTGTTATGGAGCGGGATTTTGCGCCGGGCGTTGTTGACATCTTTGGTGGTTTGGGAGATGTGCTTGGGAGATGGGTTGGTCTCTTGCAAAGGGGATGCTGTTCAATGGAGGGCTTCGGCCTCAAGTCTGTCGCTCAATGCGGAGTCACTCAGGTTGTACTGTGCTTAGATAGTAAATCGTATCCCGGCCCTTATCCCGTCTGCTTGCGCGTTGCCCTGATTGTTTTTCGATGCTTGTCTTGTGGCGGGGCGATCGGTCCCTGGCTGTCCCGATCAAGGTGGGTTTGTTTATCAAGCCGGGCAAAATTGTTCACCGCTTGACTGTCCGCCTTGTCTTATCGATAAGGATGCTGCAGGGATGCGCTGGTTCTCGCGATAAGGAATCATGCTGATCTCGTTTGTGTATGCAGGGAACGGGAAGACAGCGATATTGAAGCATGCGAAAGCTCGTTTCGTCGAAGGACCCTGACTGCACGGAGCGAAGCTTCTGTTTGATGGCTTGGGGATGCGAGACGACAGCTACCCCTGGACTCCGCGATGTTGTCTAAGGATTTGACTACAACCTCGAGAAGTTGGCTTCTTTGTACGCCAATGCATTACTCCAGGACGCGTTGTTACCGGACCGCTCATCGAGAGCTAATGGCACTTGTGCGGACCAGCATCAAACATGTCTATAGCACAAAGCCACTGACTATATTGACGGAGCATATAGTCTCTTGACGTGCCAGTGACGTAACCTCACCAAAGTGGTTATAAGTTCAATCCGCGGTGACTGCTATGTTCTTTGACGACAAACTCCTTGAATCGAGAAAGGCTTGAAAATTTTAGTCACAATGAAAGCGATTGGCGTTGAAGAGTACGGTCCCATTGATCACCTCCAGGCGAGGGAAATCCCGAAGCCTTCCGAGCTCCAGCCCCGGGATTTGTTGGTTCGGTACGAGCAATTTGTCTATTGATTTAAACAAGGACTAAGAGCAATCGATCAGGGTCAAAGGAGTATCCGTGAATCCAGTGGATACGAAAGTGAGAAACGGAACTTACGATGATTACCCAGGCAAGCCCATACCGGTTCGTGACCCAGGGTAGGATTATTTTACTGACGAATCGCCAGACTACTATGATAATGTTCCCCGACCGTTCCAAATCACCGGATATGACGCTGCAGGTGTTGTGGAAGCAGTCGGCTCTGAGTGCTCCTACTTCAAGGTCGGAGATGAGGTCTTCTATTCCGGAAGTCCTATCAGGCAGGGTTCCAACGCAGAATATCAATTGGTGGATGAAAGGAGTGTGGGACAGAAGCCGAAGCGTCTGGACTACGTCGAAGCCGCTGTCATGCCTCTGACATATATCACGGCCTATGAAGCCCTAGTGGAGAGGCTGGGAATCAAGAAAGGCGAGCGCACAGCAATCTTGATCATTAACGGCGCTGGTGGAGTCGGTGCTGTGGCAATTCAGATTGCGCGCGTGTTGCTTGAAGTACCGGTGGTCATCACGACAGCCTCGCGACCGGAGACAATCAGCTTTGCCAAAGCGATGGGTGCTACGCACGTTGTCAACCACCGGGAGGACGTTTCAAAACAGGTAGCAGATCTGAAGCTTGATCTCCCTTTGAAGTATGGCATGGCCCAACTTCAGTGCGACATAAGCTGACCATTCATCCAGGTACATTTTCATCACACATTCCACGGACCAGTACATGGATACATGTGCCAAGGTTTGTGCTCCATTCGGTAAGGTTTGTTCGATTGTGCAAGGCCAGGCGAAAATGTATGGGACCGAGTTCATGTCCAAATCTCTCACATTCGTCTGGTGTCTGCTTGGCACGAAACCGTATCACAAGGTGGATGTTGATTCGCATCATCGCATCTTGGAGGAACTCTCGGAATTGATCGACTCTGGAAAGATCAAATGCCATTTGACCAAGCGACTGAAGCTCACTCTCGAAGGTGTCAGGAAAGTGCATGAACTACTTGAATCTGGTGGAAGCATAGGGAAAGTGGGCTTGGGGCCGGACGAAGCAGGGTCCGGAGAGCCATTCGCTTGAAATTGATTAGCATAGAGACATTGCTACCGCATGTTGCAGCAGCATTTGATAGGATAATAATCACACACTGGTATAATATAGACAGGGTCCTGAGAATAGATTGCTCCCCGCGAGTCCCCCGCATCAGGCAGGGTCTTTAGCTGGGCGGCAATGCGGAGAAATCCAACACTAGTCCTACAGCGAACAATTCAGCATCGACGCTTGCCGTACTAGACTCGACTCACCGGCCTAGTTGGGCCCGAATACGACTGCCCCCGTATTTCTTTCCCAGAATGTGATTGCGTCAACACTCTAGTTTATGCAGACTTCCCTGCAGTGCCGATGGCTTCTTACCTTTCCGACTTGATCCTTTGCGGAGCCTTTTTTCGCTGATCCTGAGCCTGCCTATCTCTCTCTTTTCAGGTATTCGTCCATGAAATGTCTCAACCCGGCTTGTCTGAATGTACAGGGTCACAACGAGCATCTCGGGGTAGGGCCAACCGAGCCTTGAACCTGTGTGAGAGCTGTGATGGAACTGAGCTATAAAGCAGAGAAACATTCATCATGAGAACTCATAAGCACCAGCACAGTGTGCAATCGCAGCTTGCCATTGACCGAAATGCGTTTGACCTCGCTTCTGATTACCGCGCTGCTATCACGACAGGGCATTGCCCTCGCCCACAAGACGACTGGACCTTATGACGACCTCGGCTCGTTTCAGGATCCAGCACCTCGCGTGCGCCCTCGTTTCCGCTACTGGCTGCCGGATGCAAGTGTCGACTCCGGACGTGTTCAACAAAATATTGAAGATGCTGGTGCTCTGGGTGCTGGTGGTGTTGAGTTCCTCCCATTCTACGCTTATGGCTCCGAGGTACCAGGGGCGGACTGGGCGACCTATGGCTTCGGCACGCCGGCGTACCTTGAGATTTTCAAAGCTGCTCTCCAGGCTCACAAGGAGGCTGGCCTTGCCATGGACTTTCCCCTTGGTCCTAACCAGGGCCAGGGTGTGCCTGCACGGTATGATGATGAGGGGCTTCAGTGGGATTTGGTAGGTGGGAGAAAGGGCACTATGTGCTTTTGTGCACACTAACATGTTGAACTTGAATCATAAGGCTCCCTACACAGTTGCTATCCCTTCGAACGGAACGTATGACGGCAGGATTCCAGGCTGGGATACAGGCGATCTGGTGGCACTGGTTTCGGCTCAAATCCGTTCTGCTCGGAACGTCACTGGCCAGACCGTTACGACTTTCTACACCGTGGCAGTGGAGGACCACATGCAATACGTGCTCAAGAATGCAACACTACAGGACTGGACAGACGATGTATCATCAGAAGGCACCGTTCATCTGAGCCTTCCTTCGTCTCACGGCGAAACCTATCTGCTTTTTGCATTCTATCAATACCTGACACACACGCAAAATCTCCCAGTCAACTCAGACATGACCGGGACAATCTTTGACAATGGTTCTTACATTGTCGACCACTTCAGTGCGCAGGGAGCACAGGTAGTCACCAGGTTCTGGGATGACTACTTGCTCGAGGACGCTGAGATCAAGGAGCTTCTGTCCGAGGTCGGTAACTATGGTAAGCATTCCTGCCACACCAAGAGACGAACATAGCTGATAAGTTGACAGGCTGGGAGGATAGTATCGAGGCGACTTCGAACATATCGTGGACGCCATCGCTGCCGAAAGTCTTTTATGACAAATATGGCTATGACCTGAAGCGTTATCTACCACTCTTCGTTTTCGGCAACAACAACATTGGCATTCAAACCGCTGCACCGGGTTCGACACAGTGCCTGCTAGATACTCCAGACCAAGGAAAGGGATATGTGAATGATTTCCGTGGTGCTGTAATGAAGGGATACCAGGCCTACGTGGAGCACTACACGAACTGGACCAACGCGATGAACCTACAATACTCGTCTCAGGTTGGCTACAATCTACCTGTTGATGTCTTGGCTAATGTACCGTATGTCAATGCACCAGAGTGCGAGAGCTTGCAGCACCAGAACAATGTTGACAGTTATCGGCAATTCTCTGGTCCCGCGATCTTAGCAGGAAAGAAAGTCATCTCGAACGAGCTGGGCGCTGTTACAACCGAAGCATATAGCCATACGATCACAGAGCTTCTGTGGCAGGTCAATCGAGCGGCTGCAGGGGGCGTCAATCAGGTCGTGTTGCATGGACAATCCTACTCTGGAGACTACTACAATACGACGTGGCCAGGCTATACAGCGTTCTTCTATCTGTTTTCAGACTCATACTCTGAGAAGCAGCCATACTGGAACCACGGGTTCTCAGAAGCCTTGAACCACATTGCGAGGTTACAATACTCACAGCGAAAGGGTATCCCGAAAGTTGACTTGGTCGTCTACAGCAAGGTCTCTGCATCTGATCCGTATTTGGACACTATCTATAACCATAGTGACCTGATCGAGCATGGTATGTGTTTTCCTTTCCAACTTGGCGGGCTCTGCGTTCTAACAGGAAAAGGTTACACCTATGTCTACCTGTCACCCGAGAACTTCGCCTTGCCTCAAGCTTATGTGAAGAATGGGTCATTGGCACCGGATGGCCCCGAGTTTCGCGCCATGATTATCCCTAGGGTGAGCAACCTCACGCTTGATGCCATCAGCCATATCAAAGAATATGCCCGTGCAGGTCTTCCGGTGATCTTATCAGATGGACTGCCCAACATCTACTTCACAGAAGATGGGACCGAGACTGCCGCTAGGGCAGAGTTGGCCTCCCTGCAGGCTACCCAGAATGTCTATACAGTCGCTGCTGGCCAAGCAGCTAGCAAGCTTCCAGCTTTAGGCATCTCGCCCAGGGTCAAAGTGCAGGCAGATGGGACCTGGCACTCTACCTGGAGATCCGACAGCGACGGCACAGAATATCTTTTCATCCTCTCGGACCTGGTCAAGTCTGCTGGCACGGTAAGTGTCGCAACCACCAAACAGCCTTACTCACTAGATCCGTGGACTGGCAAAGAGAGCCCACTTTTGGCATATCAACAGGAATTCGGACGCACAATGATTCCCTTCTCCTTTGCTGCAAACCAGACCGCCATACTGGTCTTCAGGGACACCATGACGTCTGCGACATCACTCCGTACCGCCGACATTCCCACTTCAATCATTGGACATGAGTACAGTCAAGCAGGGAGCCTTCATCTGCATGTCTCGTCCAGCAGCCTTGCAAAGACATCACTGCCACTCTCCAACGGCAAAACCATCACTCAGCTCACTAACCGCACCGTCGCCCCAAGTATCACTCTCTCTAACTGGAATCTCACTGTCGAGCATTGGAACCACCCTCTTAATCTAAGCGATGCCTCCACTATCGCGCTCAAACACAACACCACCCACAGGCTCACTTCCCTCGTCTCCTGGCGCGACATTCCCGCCATCGCTAACGCCTCCGGAATAGGCTACTACACGCACAGCCTGGCATGGTCGCCTTCAGCATCCGCCTCAGGCGCATACCTCCTTCTACCCAAAGCCACCAACGGGGCGCGAGTCTACGTGAACGGTCACCGCGTCCCGCCCTTCGACTACCAGGCCCCGAAGATCAACATCAGTCCGTACCTTCACGCCGGCGCCAACGAGATCACGGTAGAGGTTCCGTCCGTGATGTGGAACTGCCTCCGCTCGATCTTCGATGAGCTCTGGACAGGCGGCATTCACCCGGCGAATGTCTTCAAAGCCTACGGTGGCTTGCCCGGAACAGTGGATAATGGGCTTATCGGAGAGGCAACGGTTGTGCCATATGTAAATGTGCATGTAGGATGAAGATCATCCAAGCAAAGTTCAAGATCCGCAGACAGAACATAGCAGACAAATCCAAGCAGTCCCAAAACCAATGAGATCGTCGATCGGGAATCGAAGAAGAGACTCATACATTAGAAAACAAATCTCCACGTGTTGTCAGCCTAAACCCTCACCCTGGCTACTTTCGAAGTAGAGCCACCAATACAGACGAAAGCAAACCAACCCGCCTTCTATTTTTCTTCCATCCTCCCGATCATCCGATCATCCGATCACCCAGGATTATTCCCCGAACAAGCAAACCCACGAACCACTGTGAGGAGTGAGGATAAGCGACGTTCCAAAAAGCAGGCGCCGATCCGCGACCCGTAGCGAGCAGATCCACGGTATTGGTAGCGCCCCCCGGCCCCGGAGAAAGGCCCCCAGACACTACAGAATCCAAATGATTTAATTGAGTTCAACGCCATTGTTCACCAGCCTCTAGTCTAACCACCCCAGCTGGCTGGCTGGCTGGCTAGTGATTTACCTACACAGTAGAAGCTCGCTCGCTCGCTAGTGACGGGTCTAGAACACCCACCCCCCACCCCCCACCCCCTGCCCCCGAAATCCCCGAAAAACAAAGCCATTGTTCCGACTCACCTACGTAGCATAGATCTGCAAACCACATTGATTCAGATTTACTCTAGAACCGAAAGGCTCCGCGACGCGATTGAAGATTACACCTACATAGACTACATAGTAGTAACTTTGAACAGTACGGAGACGTACTGCCTCCTGCCGGTCAACAAACAACAATCCATCTCGCGCCAAAACATACCGACCGACCGCCTCACCTCAACAACCAACTAAACCCCATGAGCCATTACATACTACATACTAGTTATATGTAGTCCGGCCCCAGCATTGCCCGAACCACATTTCGGAAGCGAGCGAAGCCCAGCCCAGCCCAGCCCAGCCCCAGCCTAACTATGAGTAAGTTAGCCGCCACTAACGAGCCCGGGGCAACACAACTCGGCAAAAGATGATGTCAATGTATCCACTTCCCGGGGGTTCGTTCACTCAATTGAGGCGAAGGGAGTCTACGTAGTCTAGAATGTGACCACTGGATTCCATTGAACCCATAGCTTGAAATTATTCTGGATGTGGAATACGTAGTAACTTGGATCGGGTTCGGGGCATGTTGCTTATTCACTCCCTCACTCACTAGTCTACGGACTTACTCATACTTGACTCATCGCATGGAGGGTTGGGTTGGGGCAAAGGATGGGTGGGTGGTTGGGGGGGGAATTTGGATTTTAGGGGTTGGGGCTGGGGTTGGGGTTGGGGCGAAGGAAGGGGTCGGGCATCAGTCAATTCTTGCTGATGAGTATAATGATGAGTCGGGTCTTGTAGATGAAGGCAAATGAACTGGAGCCAAACCTAGTGGTGATTGTCACATGGACAATCCAAACCACCGAACCAAGGAACCCAGAGGCAAGGAACAGGTCATGATCGTTCATGATCCGGGAGTTTCACAAAAATAAATCCAAGTTTTGTAAATTGTTTTAAACCATGCTTCGATCCATCGTCTTGTAAGAACAGAAGATTTCACCCTAGAAAGAAACACCCCTAATTGTGTTTGCCTGTGCCTACTCCTGCGCTAAAGTGAAACCCAAAACCAGAGTCCCATCCCGGAAATAATGAAAATTGTAGTGACATCTACTCCATGTCTAGATTCCAAACTCCGAAACATGAATTCGACAAAGAGAATAAAAAAAATGGAGTTCGTTTCGTCTTGTCTCGTATAGTGATTCGTTGCGTGGTTGTTTGTGTTGCCATGTACACCAGCATGTTGATGTGTTGTAGCATAGTGGAGATCGTAAGGAGGGTAAAGTGGTAATGTTATGCGTGAGAGGGTCTCCAGGACCGCTCCTCGCTGAGGTCATTATCGCTAATGATTGAAACGCCTGTAAATAGGATTGTGGTGTGGATAGTGCATCCTTTCAAGTCGAGGCGCGTCGATTAGGGACAAGGATGTTGCTGAGGCGTTTCCACCGCTGTCCCGGCGATGACAGATTGTCCCGCTCTATGCGATCCTTGTCTATGCTGGCTTTTGAGGAAGACTGTGTAGATGATCGCGGTCGGGTAACGAAGGCTTCGTGGTCGGCGAGAACATCTTCAAGTCGCACGTCGGAGTCGGAAATGCGAGGATGGCCATCGCTGGGGTCAAGGATCTCGATAAACCGGGACGGCATGTCGCGCATATTGTGTATGTGTTTAAATGTAGTGTAGATGCGTAGAGAAGTGTGTTTGGGGAGTCTTGTCTTTGAAGGATGATCCAAAGAAAAAAGAATTGCCTCGGTCGTGTTTCGAGATTGGGAAAGCTTGCTTTTTGACCTCTTCTACTTCGCTCTTAGTCGGCTGGGGGCGGAGGTCGTGTGCGTGGTCACGAGGGACGCGGAGAGAACTTTATTCAAATATGGGGAAAGCGGTCGATCATGGAGGTACGTGCATGCAGATATTGACCGAAAAACCAGATTCTCACGGTCGAGTGGGAAAATGAGTGTGAGAAGAAAAAATAGGAGGGCTGGAAAGAAGGTCTGAACGGATATGGTTTCCGTGTAGCCTCTCCAGGGGGAGAGGAGGGAGGACCCTTAAAAAGAATCGAGGGGCAAAGGATGTCTGAGGATAAAGAGAAACCCCTAGAGAAAAAGCAATGAGACGGGAGATGAGAAAGGCACGGATATTGCAGTAGTCGAGAATGCCGATTCGTTGATTACAGTTTCAGTTATGCGCCAGACAGGGATGTCGAAGCAGTGTGGTTTTTGCAACGGAGGGGGAGGGGGGTCGGTCAGAAAGATATCTATGTCCAGCGGATAAAGGGCGCGAGGCGCCGCTGACGTCCGGGGAAAAGAAAGAGTATATTTATGAGTATGAGTCCTCTACGGTAGGACCCATCAGCCCTTGAAATGGTATGTCGATTATTCCGCGCTTTTCCCGCCTCCCCAATAGGTCATTGTACCGGGACAAGCGGGGGTTGGTGATCATGGATGGGGATCAACTGTCGGGACTGGTATGGTGGCGCATCAGTCAGAGCAAGGGCAGCGACATCGACTTCCGCCGCGCAAGCATAATATTCTGATGGGTTGGCGGACCCTGTGATTGATGAGGATACATGAGGATAAGCGGGGAATGTTCTGTGAGAGGAAAAGCGGTTCGTCCGTCATCCTGAAAGGGAGGTGTGTAAGAGGGAGACATTGGTGCTGATTATGAAGCCGATGATGCTGATGGATGCGTGGGATGGAAGGGGGTTGGTCCGTTGCCTTGGGCCACAGTGAGTGCCCCTCTTTCGGGATGTGCAAAAGGTTCAAGCACGGCGGAAAAAAAGAAAGAGAGAAGGAGAAGAAGAAGAAGAATGATCGTCATCGGGTGACCGACTGTCAGGTGTAGAGAAAAGAAGAGTGCAGGCAGGTTAATCATGGGATTGTGAGGACGACTCCACCCACCGGTTCTTCCCGCCCGTCCCGAATGGTCATCATCGCTACCTACAGTTCTCGAGGCAACAACTTATCTTCCTTCAGTCACTGACTCACTCGCATCAGAACAGGAGATGACGTTGTCCATCTGTGGCTGCAACTCTCATTGATGAACTGTGGCTTGACTGGGGCTGGCGATCATAGATAGTCCACGCACACCGCAGAGCGGTAGACGTGTCCCAACTCCATTATTCCCTTCACATTCAACCAATGTTCAACCGATGTGCAGCGCGGGGGCGACTTTCAGATCAGCAGATTGCAGGTGTACTGCCTCGAAACGACTCAACGCGCAACGTAAGAGCTTAGCAAGCTCTTGGACAGATCACGGAGGCTATTCTTAGCAACGGATTGACGTCGAGTCATCAGTAGGTAGGGTGGAATGTTTTTGTAAAAGGAAGCTTGTTGCCATCGAGGGGGGAAAGAAAATGTTAGTGGTACAAGAGATAGATCGGGTTGAGGTCAACACCACCACCATTCAACCTGTGGAAGTTCTCCTCTCGCGGCATGTGCTACCTGTGACGTCATGGCCCCTACTTTCGCTCTTCGCCATTTCCTCCCTCACGACCACTTCGACTTCGAACTAGTCACTATTAGGTACCTAGCCTACCTATCGGACACCCGTCATTCTTTTATGATGTTCCACCAGTAAGCGACATGCCGAACAAGCGCGTCAAAAGAAATACCCGGTCGTCACAGAAGCTCCCTTCTCCGCCTCGATCCGAGCAGGATGCTGCAGTCGCAGATGACGCTCATTGTGTGGAAGACCCTGCGTCAGGCGGCGGGGGAGTCACAGAACGTCAGACTGAAGACCATGACTCAGTGACGTCGGACCTTGCGGACGAAGACGAGATGCCCGAGGAGACAGGGAGCACTGGCGCACAGCTGGCTATGCATGCGGCGGGATACGCAGGCGGAAGCGGAGCAGGCTACAACGCGCTCAAGTCGTTCAACGGTCAAGTGTATTCCGGGATGGCCGTCGGAGGCTCGCATACCTGGAAGTATGATGAGGGAACGTGGAAGGAGACGAAGGAGGAGCCGGACCTCTGGCGCATTGATTACCGCACAAACAAGCGACGTGCAAAAAGAGCGCCGGAGGGAAGCGGTGCACCGGTGGGGACGGAGTATCACTGGTTGATTGTAGGACATCAGGTATGTGCGGGCTTTTTTCTTTCAGGTGCAGAGAAGATCAGCAGTGGCATTGCTTACTCTGGGCAGCACGTCAAGAAAGTCGATGCGAATACCTACGAGACCTATCTGACCGGCTCGAAGTATAAGCTCGCGTACAAGTCGGCCTCATCGAACTCGTGGTCTGTTCCGACCGTGAAGAAACAGCGGGAGAGAGAGGTCGAGCTGCTGGAGGATGCAAAGCATCGCGTCCAGGGACTGCCTCCGGTGCTGGCATCGGAGAAAGTCAAGGTTGAGAAGCATGAGAAGGGGCAAACGAAGCTCGACACTATGTTCGGCAAGGCGGGGACCAAGCGGAAGGCATCCCAGGATGCTGACAACGGAGATGAATATGGAAATATATGATTCACTAACTGTGGTTGGCCGTAATGGATGCGGAATCAAAATGCACATGGACTGAAAATCACATTTTTTACGCCCCCGTGCATGATGAATTGGGGCAATAGAACTGCTCCCTACATGCAGACTGGTGGAGTGACTAGCTCAGAAATCACTCGAGATTCAATGTTTGAGCTCATACATGATATACAGTGTTGTAGCACCGTGCAGGTATGATATCCAGCAATCTTAGTGCTATCTCAGGCGCAGTTCTGCGCATACACCTCTAGCGGGCAACTGTCTCCATGAGTATAACCCAAGAGAAGCTACGGTCTTGCTAAAGACTAGTAGTAGCATTATAGACGAGATGCGATCTCCCTGCCACTTGACCTCCTCAAGCTGCAAGGGTGAACTGTTCGCAGAGCCTCCCCCGCATCACGCAGGATCGTCAAATCAATTTGCGACGTAGTACTCCGTAGAATCAACAGCTTCAACATGCAATGAAAATGAACGTGATGCTGAGGAAGAACAATACAGAGAGAACACAGCCAGAAAAGAAAGCTACTCCATATACTCAGTACTTCAAGCAGCAAAAGAGTGTAGAGTCTAGACCCGCGCAGTTTCCTCACTAGAGACGATTCGGATCGCTCCGATCCACAATAGCTGGGAACTATGACATCACCCACCGACGCGATCTTACCTTCGCGCCTTCGCGCCTCGAGCTTAATCTTCTAGATCTTCACCTTACTGCAAAGCTCAGCTATAGTCCAAAGCGACTCAATTGACGAAACCAAGCTTCAATTCCGAGTGTTATCATGTCCAAAAGAATCAATTCCTTCTTCCAACCCATCCCGTCGAAGAAGCCCAAACCCGATCCGGAAGCTCTACCAGCATCACGGTCCGACTCGCCATCTCCCACCCCCGTCTCGAGCACGCACCACCCAAACTATCCCATGCCCATTCGTGACCTCCCCTCGCATATCTTCAAGCCGATCGCAAATCTCGAGCGTGTCCGGCCCCCGCAAGCCATCAACAACCAGCCACACCTCGACCTGCTGTATTTCCAGCCATTCATCCCGTCGCCGATCGCCCGCGATTTGTTCAACTTCCTCCGGAATGAGCTCCCCTTCTATCGCGTGCAGTACACCATCCGCCGCGGCCCAACGGAGACACTGATCAACACGCCGCGTTACACGACCGTCTTCGGCGTGGACGAGACAAGCATTTTCATACCGGGTTCACAGGATGCGAAACCTATCGGCGTCGACAACTCCTCGTCCGAGTTGACTCAGACCCAGACTCCCACCCTCGCTCTCGTAGAGGCCCGCACCCGCGCCCCACCAACCACGCTCAAAGACAAAACCAAGTACAACCATCCCCCGCGCCCCATCCCGCCGTGTCTCGATGTCCTCCGCCAGGCTGTCGAGGCCGCCACCGCCGACGGAACCCATTACAACTTCTGCCTGGTGAATTACTACGCCACGGGCGATGACAGCATCTCATACCACTCGGACGATGAGCGGTTCCTGGGGCCGAACCCCACGATCGCGTCCATCTCGCTTGGCGGGCAGCGGGACTTCATGCTCAAGCATAAACCTGTGGCCGGGAGTGACGTCGACGCAGGGAAGCCGCTCAAGTTCCCGCTCAACTCCGGGGATATGATCGTCATGAGGGGCGAGACACAGGCTAATTGGTTGCATAGTATTCCAAAGCGGAAGGGGGCGCAGGGGAGCCAGGGGAGAATTAATATCACATTCCGGAAGGCGGTGGTACCGGGTGGTACAAATAACTATTATAGGTATAATGTGGGCGACGGCGCGGTTTATCGATGGGACGAGTTGGCAAAACGGATGGTTGCTGTCAAGAAAGAGAAAGAAACGGAAGGAGAGAAAGAGTCCCAAAAGGTAGACGAAGTGAAGGTTGAGGAATAAGGCGAGGCAATGGAGGTACTTCGTACCTGGCTGGCAACGATTGCATAGTATTAGAACCGCGAGAATGGGTTCTTGTAGTTCCGGAACTGGTCCAGTGATACTGCGCCTTCGAGAATATGCTGCAGGAGGGTTCCGTAATCCCATCCGATAGCAGCGGCAGCGAGGGCACAGAGACTGGCCTGATCTTCACGGCCAGGACGGCCAGGGCCAGTCATGTTCTAGATCACACAGATTAGCCTTTCAATCCTTGGAAAGTAGACAAGAGAGACATACAGGCTTCATGTTAATGTCGAAAATCGCGAATTCAGATCCCTCGCGGAACCTTCTGATATCAATACGTAGGGGTGCGGTAGCCCCGATTAACTTCCCAATCTGCTCGCATTGCCGCATCACGGAACCATAAGATGCGTCCTTCATCTCGTCCGCAGTCACCGTGCGCGAATTGACAGTAACAGCCACCGCGCCACTGTAAGGCGCCACCCCGTCGACATGATTGAATCGCGTGACCGGGGGGAGACTCCAGTGCGAATCATGACCCGCGGACGGCGGCATGACCGTAATAGTCGCCTCCTCGCCGGTGAGAAATTCTTCGACCAGAACCACCGGGGATTCCTGCACCAATGTGTTGACATGTGCCTCAAGCTCTGCACGATCGCGACAAAGCTTCACGCCGTGGCTACCACGGCCACGAACGGGTTTGCCAATGACGGGATAATGGGGGATAGAGTCCAGAATCGAGGTAATATTGTCTGTGGCGCGGACAAGCCAGGACTGCGGGAGAGTGAAAGAGCCGTGTTTGCGGAGCTGCTCGTTCAGATAGGCTTTGTCGTCAAAGTCCTCTACCAGCGTTGGGGGTTGTCCGACGACATAAAGAGGGTCGTTGGAAGTCAGTGATTTCGACACCTGCAGTGGATGCGAGGAGAACAAGACCGTATTGGCCCAGAGGTGTGTAGCACCTTGCGTTACGGCGGAGAGGATGCCTTCTTCGGTGTCGGGGAAGCACCAGCCTTCCTGCATTGAAGGATTCGGAGATGCCGTGGGGGTGAGGACGCGGACACCATGCTTACGAAGCGTGTAAGCAATGTCTGCGCCTGAGTCTTGATAGCCTGCAACAAGGTGTCAGTTTCAGTTTCACAATGGAAGTGGACAGTGAATGGAAAGGCTACTCTACCACCAGGCTTGCGAGGCTTGCGGGCACCGTTGATAACAGGTGGCTCGAGGGCTTGATAGAGTACTGCGACTGTGGGATGACCACGAGCTAGACTGTGACTCAGTCGCGCGGACTGTTGTTTGCATAGACTCATCATGACGACGATGTGTGTTTTTTGTTGATCAGTGCTGAGGCAGATGAGCTCATGATATAGCATCTGGAACTATCCGAAAGTGCCGAAATCGGCACTTTCGGACTGACTCGATATAGATTGATGATATCATTTGGTGAGATCTGCAATCATGTCGTGATGACAATATCTGCACCTTAAGAGTATCTATAGCCTGAAAGAGGTCATATGAGAAGCATCAGAAAGACATCAAGGAGGTATATTCTCGGAGTTCCACAATCGAGGTGACTGCAAAGACTGGCACATAACAGCGGAGAGACACAGCAGAAAGTGCGGATTGCTCCGGGATGCTATGGGCATTGGGCGGCAAGTAAAATGGTGGCAGAAAACCACACCGCCTGGTGCTGTACTTCTTCCACTTGCGAATTTCGGAGTGAACGCCTGGAATGCGAATTCCACAGGACCGGACAGAGAGTACAGAGTGGTCTGATTATTCCTTTGACCTTCATGATGGAATGAATGCTTGATGAATATTGTGACTGAAGTGCTTCCTGCAAATCAGGTACCAGTAGCACACTCCCCTACAACTTCGGTTTCCAACCGGCCTCGACCTCCTTTTGGCTCTGTTCCCTCAACAGCCGCTTTAAGATCTTTCCACTCGCATTCTTGGGTATTGCATTCACGAATCTGACTCCTCCCGTCAAAGCCTTGTAGCTCGCTAGTCTCTGCACGAGATAGCTCTTCACATTCTCTGCTGTGAGCCGATCTCCATCTCTTGGTCGTCGCACCACATACGCCTGGGGCAACTCCGTCCCTGGGACCAGATGCTTGATACCAATGACAGCCGCATCAACAATGAGCGGATGTGATATGAGCACAGCCTCTAGCTCCAGTGGAGCGACCTGGAATCCACGGACCTTGATCAACTCTTTCTCTCGATCCACGATGTACCATTTCCCTGTCTCCCTTGCACAGTACCCGATGTCACCAGTGTGAAACCATCCGTCTTCATCGAACGATTCTTTGTTCGCGGCGGAATTGTTGAAGTATCCTGGTGTTACGGTTGGACCTCGGACACATATCTCGCCGCGAACGTTGTATGCGGAGATGTTGTTTCCCGCGTGGTCTATCAACCTGTTTAAAGCACAAGTGAGCCATGGCATCTCATAGATGAAGGAGAGAAGGTTAGAAATGCCTACTTAGCTTCCAGGTTCGGAATCAAGCGACCCACAGATCCCGTGTAATCCTGCTCTGGGTACGGAAGCGTAGTTGCAATGCAACTTGTCTCCGTCATTCCCCAGACTTGCGTGCAAGGTGCCCCCTCACCCAGCAACGCTTGGAGCCGCCTCTGTGTTCCTTGATCAATGGGCGCAGCGCCGATCGAACTCGTCCGGATAGACCTCAAGTACCCCCGCTTGTAGGACAACGGGCTCATGATGATGGCGATGACAACGGGCGGAACAACCGCCAAGTCGGTCACATGGTACTTCTCCACGGTTTCCAGGAAGAGTAAGAGGTCGAAACGCCTCATGATGTAGTTGGTGTGACCGGCTTTGAGGCTGCCAAAATGGGTGGAAGGTACGGCGGCAGCGTGGAAGAGAGGGGTCGGCACAACGCGGGAAACCTATTTCAAATATGCTTATGTTACTTTGGAATCGAGTTTGGTGTGGTACAATACAAGGCCAATTACCCAATATGGTCGATGATGCAACTCGAACACGAGCTCATGTTGCGCAATCAGATTTGTGTGAGTGATTTCAGTGGCTTTGGGCAGGCCTGTTGTTCCGCTGCTGAATAGCCGAACAGCTGTAGTCTGAGCCGCTATGGACCCATCGTGGATACGCGCCCAGTCCTTTTCACCATGCTCAAACAGATCGGTCCAGGACACGGTTCCTTCGGGAATTGTTTCTTCCCTGGTGTTGAAGATGCGCACATGTGATAAGAAGATGTTCAGATCATGCGCAGCTGTTCGGATAGGACCGTAGAGCTCAGACTCAGTGATAATAAAGCGAACTTGCGCGGTCTGTAGGTGGTGCTTGAGCTCCAAAGGTGTATAAGCCGGGTTAGATCCTGTGAAAATGCCTCCGATACCGACAATGGCAAGCACGAGCATAGGGTAGTAAATCTAGTGGGGTCTCAGCCATGTTCAAGTGGTGTGCAGTGCGCAAGCAATGGTTTCAGTACACTATTGAAGGAATGAATATTGACGCAGTCTCCCTTCCGCACGCCCCAGGCATGAAGACCAGCAATCAATTGGCGGACGATGCGACGGGCTTGGTCGTAGCAAATGGACCGAGAGGGTTGATGGACATCCACATAGATCTGCCAAGGTCAGAGCCGGACGAAAAGAAGAATCATAGGTGGTGTCCTTACTGGGACAGTCCTGTCATAGATCGGGTTCGAGAAACTGTAAGAGAGGACATCAGTAGGGGGAACAGGGGCCCTAGATGGCGGTTCGAAGATCATGGCCGATGGCAAGGCCGAAAAAGTATCAAGAGCAGAAGGGGCTTCTGAGAATGAAGTCTTGTATGGGCTATCTGAGGTCGCATACACAGAGCTGTGAAATGTGAAGACAATAGCCCCTTTCCCAGCTCCCTCGCCGAATTGCAATGTTTAAACAGACCGGATACATTCACCGTTCAAGAGATGTGATCCATAGACAGAAGCAGGGCCCATTGCAAGTCCCTGGAAAGTACCCAATCGCACCGGGTGATGCCGAATAATATTACTCTTTGACCCGCTCTCCTGCATCAAGCCAGACTATTGACTTGTTCCATGCTACCAGCCATGCCACTGGATAAGTGACATGTGCGGTCAGCGCCCATCACCGATCAAAGCCGGGCCTCGAACCGAGGATGCGTTTCGAGATCTCCGTACCGCCACAACATATGGATAGCACAGCAAAGGTTAATGAATAAGTGTCCTAGCCCAGTGCAAGCGCCGAGTATGCTACCGGTCTAGCGAGCATTCGTAAGATTTCGAATAGCGACCGCGGGATAAAGCTGGGTGATGTCTTCGTTGCAGCGTACATTGGACTTAGATCTATTTAGTATGTGCCACAAGACCCCAAGGAAACCCATGTCGAACACTCCGTGCTAATTAAGAGTCTTTCAATGGGTTTGAGCTTGATAACCAGTGGTCCAAGGGCAGGGCGACAAAACACATCCAGGAGTCAAAGTGCTGTGTCGTATGCTCTTGTTGACAGAAAACTCGAGATAAAATACAATTGCTGTTCTTACGAAGAATTGCTGACTTCGTTGGATATAGTGTATAGTGATGAGATTAGATGCAGATAACCGTTTGTGATCGGAGGAAGCTGCAACTTCATCGGACACAAATGGACGTGAGGAAACATAGTACACGTCCATTCTAGTCACATTCGATGATGGGCACTTTGCCATTAAACCGTCCTTGAGCGAAGCTTCGTGCTGCATGGAGTCGAACGCAGCGAGTATTTCTGTTTTCGAGTAGGGTGGAAGGATGTTATGTTCAACAATAAGGATCCTCAGTGAACGAACAGGCAGCATTTGCTCATATTGTGGGAAGTGGCGTGGAGAAGATTGAAGCAGTCAAGTACAACAGTCCAGTGTGAGGCTGATGATATTGAAGCTTGATATGGCCTGCGCTGCTCCAGGTGCGACTACAGGTGCAGCATAATGAGTGCATATTTGGCGCAGCACCAGACTCTTCAAGTTTGAGCTTATAGCGAATATTCTGCACTCACGCCATGAGCCCCATCTACCCACAAACAGCAAGGAACGTTATCTTACCACTGATCAGCTTGCAGAGCGCTTCTAAATGACATACTCTTGCCAAGTGACTCCAGAATTGTTGGATGCTTCGCAAGGAGGATTAGGTTGCCGGTCGGGCCAAAGACACTTCTCGCCGCCCCTTTCGACAGCTTGACCTTACCTGGATCAGAACCACGTAAAGCTTCTCAAGAGTCTGAAGACAAGCGTCCAATTCAGGAAAGAGTCAGAAGAAGCCCTTCAGATTAAATGTCTGAATGTCTGGCTGGTTGCAAGTGCCGACAATCATTCCGGAGTCGGAGGGGCCGGCTTACTGTTGCGGCGGGTAAGTCAGTCACTGAAGGCTCTCTCCCATTTCGGTAGGAGAAGCCCATCTCAGCTCCAGCTGGGCTATTCATCATCCCCTCTCCTCTCCTCTCCTCTCCTCTCCCCTCATCTTATCTCATATCATCTCATTCACACGGAGCACAGCAAACCATCTTTTGCACCATCAAGGTCCGCGGAACGGAGTCACTATCTGTCGATAATCAATGTCATTTCAATTGTTCACCAATTATTTGAACTAACCAGATAACGATCAACTCGCTACCAAGGTGGTGTGCTGTGACTTCTCCTCGACTTCTTGTCGCCAAGGTCGACAGATGTCACCCAAGGCTTTGGATGAGCACCACTCTTCCCTTCACTGTATAATGAGAAGGCAGATGATTACGCCAGCTGAAGCCGAAATGTGGCCACTCAGACTTGGCAGTCTCGCTGGTAGGTGAGACAGACAAGGGTCTTCAAGGTGGCATAAGAACTCTATTGTACTTCTCATCTGACGGTCTGTGCCGCAGGGTCCGCCGGACTACTCATGCCCAGGCCCACGTTGTGCCTCGAACGGCAAATGAATCAGCAGCAGCCTGTTTCCTCTACCTGCCAATGGACACTAAATCTTGGCTTTCTCCTCATCGACCACGATCGACTTGCTGCTCAGGAGGATCAACAGACTGAGAACCAAGCTCCCGATGCCACCAGTATCACCCGGCCTCTCTTCCGGGAGAAGTGAGAGATGCTGGGTATTCATCTGAGGCATTCGGATTTGTAGCCATGGATTTGTCGCTTCTGGATTTACTCAATCGAGTGCGCGTCATAGGCCCGATCAAGTCCTTCCGGTGACAAATTCCTTCGATCAAGGTTGTTATTGAGGCCATAAGGCCGCTTGAAGACGGTCTGAGAACTGAGTTAATCGCCGATAGCTTATCCCTATGCACCCCTTGGATCAATCACGAGTGGTGC